AGTGATGCGCACTTGGCAGGCCTGAATGTTAGGCCACATCTACTTGCGACCGTCGCCACCGTGTCGAGAAGCGTCTGGAGGTCTTCCGGGCTACTATCCATAACTACCAGGTCGTCAGCAAAAGCCAGCAAAGGGAGTCGGCCGTCAGCAACCATGCAGCCAAGCCCAGTCTCATTGGCCGCTCTGATAATGGGCTCCAGAGCCAAGTTGAAGATTATTGGGCTCAAGGGACAGCCCTGGCGGACTCCAGCATGGATTGGGAAGCTGTCCGTCTCGCCGGTCGAAACTCTGACTGTTGCAGTGCCGTCTGTGTAGATGTCCCTGCAGATGTCCACAAAGGATTGATCGACGCCGAAACTGGCAAGTACGTCGAACATGTGTTGGTGTGGGACAGAGCCAAAAGCGTTGGCCAGGTCCAGCCACGCGACAGCGCAGGATCTGCGTCCCCTTCGCGTTTCATCCAGAATACTCTGGAGTACAAAATTATGTTCTAGGCAGCCCTCGAATTGTCCAAAGCCTTTTTGGGCCGGCGACACCAAGCCGTGTTGCCTACACCACGCTGACAGCCTGTGCGCCAGACAGGATGTGAAGAGCTTGTATATGCAGCCGCACAGGGAAATAGGCCGCCAGTTGCCAGGATCATTGCGGTCGCCCATTTTGTGAATAAGGATCACCACGGCACGCTTCCAGTCCGCTGGCACTCTTCTGAACTCGAGGACTCGGTTGAAGAGTGACGTCATGGCCAGGCATCCCGGGTCTAGCTTTTTCAATTGATGGTAGCGGATGCCATCGTAGCCTGGGGCTGTGTTTGACGTGCGGTTCAGGCGCTCCACCAAGTGTTGTGGCTCGAAAGGCAGCGTAAGTGTGTGGCCATTGGGACCAACTGGCAGTTGCACTGCATGATGTGGACCGTCGAGGTGTTTCACTTTTTTTTACTACACTTTGATCTTAGCCAAGAGGCCGAGAAGCGATAAAGCAACACTAAAACTTTTCGAGGCTGTCACGAAATGCACGTTCGAAAACGTTCTCATATAGATCTTTTCGCCATCTGTCGCAAGGAACGGAAAGCAAAAGCCACAATCTCGATATCGAAAATGGGAAAAACAATAAAGTCTACTTTTGTTTTCAGAGAGTTATTGACAATTAAAATTGTAACATGAAGTATAAATTAATAGTCTTCTAATTAATTTATATTTCAACCTATAATTTTAAATTGTCACTGTTTCTCTAAATAAAATAGAAGATTTATTTGAATTTGCGGATGTATATAAATTATGTACCTTATACACTACGAAACTATGAGAAAATAGACCTCTTTAATTTTCAACAATATTTCACGAGTGCGTATGATGCGTGAAAAATCACTTAGTGAAATTCAAGACTCAAGTGGTATTTCACGATTTAATATCAAAAGTATAATAAGCATAAGAGTACCTAAATAAGTGTTATTATTTGAAATATAAAAAGAAAAAGTAGCAACCACTCAGAATGTCTAGTTTCCGTAGCCTGACGCAAGCGACAAGTTGAACGATCATCGGCGACCAACGAGCATACCACGAAGGTCGACTCGGAGTCATATCTCACGCTCAGGAAAGAAGACTTTACCTCATCCTCATGGTTACGACAACTCTACTTTTGAGTAGAGAGTATGCGAAGATATAGTACAGAAATAATCCTGTGAAGTATGATCTTGCCGGTTATCTGACATATTTTTGTAGGAAAGACGAGAAGTACTCCAAGTGCTGGTCTCATATATACGGTGGCGTCCTCTCATTTAATTAATCAAAGTTAAAAATGAACAAGATTGTAATAATCATCAAGTAATATTTTTCGTGACGTGGATAATAAATGATGGTCTGCATTCGGATATCTGGGTATCGCATCTTTAAGATACATTCATATTTTTATGTAGGTATTGTAGGTATTGAGTACTAATATTGAGAGTAAGTCATGTGGCAAAAATAATGTGCGCGTTTCTCGATAGACTGGCGAACGCAAGTATAAAGTCGTAACCACTATAAAATCAAGAAATTAATAATGATCTGTTATTGAAAAAATAAATAATTAAAAAATAGCAATTATCAGAATAAAGATTCGGAAAATCTAGACTAAAGGTGCATACACGTTGTTTTTTCAGCAAGCACTGCATCGTCATTCGGCAATACTTACCTTCATAGAGATTGAAGAATTAAGGAAGAAGAAATCAGTTACCCCCTATTTTCAATATTTGTACATGTATCTGTATAAGAAAACGCTTGACTTTCGACAATAAAAATAGTTTATTTACGACTGACATATAATGTAAGTATTATATTTGTGATTTTGGCAGTATGCCATTTATTATTCCCGCAGGGATTAATGGTCATTATTCCCGCTTGCACACCAATCACAAAATTTCTCAAATTAAATTAAATTAAAGTAGTACTACCATGGAAACAATATACCTGAACAAACTCAAAAGTGACAGTGTCAAACGCATAGTGCTTGTGTATTTGTATTGAGATGGATGAACAAAGAGCGTTTTTGGAAGGTAAATTGCAAATAAATTAATTTGTCGTAAATAAAGTAGAGTATACTACTCGCAATAATGGCTATTATTCCCTCGGAATGTTACTCCCTCGCCGCTAACGCGGCTCAGTTCGTAAATATTCCTCGGGAATAATAGCTATCATTATTGACTCGTGGTATAATCTACTATTATTTCAAATTCACAAATATATCCAGGCGACGATGCGCTCAACAGGCTGAACAAAATGCAAGTCCGTACAAGTCGCCTAAAACTATCGACTACCTCGCCTAAAACATAACTGTTTTTGAAGGACCCTTTCCTTTCAACGTTGCCGATATGGGTCTGGTCAGTGCCGGCCCGAGGCTACTTTTAGTATGGAGCGAGATCTGACTTTGGCGCCCCTAGTTTAAATGTGATTCGCATGCGCGAGTATAGATTTTGACCATATCTAATTTAATAGGCAGGGTTGGATGGGCTTAGACAAACCGGCCCTGGAAATTTTTTTCATCCAGCCCTCCCTTGGACGGCAAGAATGAAAAATTGGTTTCAAAAATTTTACTGTTAAGAAAACGAAAGAATATTTTGGAATTTTCATTCTCGATATTATTACATATAGATAGGTCACGGTCCCATTGTGACAAACAAATAGGACTTGACGTTTTCTCTTCCCTTAATTGCTCCTTGCATTACATTCCATTATCTTTTGTCTGTCAAATGGTCTGTCAAGTGACTACTCTTATGGCTAGGATGTTTGAGAGAGGTAGGTTGCCTGATAACTGTATGACGTCATCTGGGGTGCCTCATCCTGGCAGGAAAACTGAGGTCCAAAAGTAACCACTTTTCCAGGAACTAGAGTAATTAGTAATTAGATTACTTTTGGATCGCTTTTCTGTCGATGCTACATCTTTGTTTTTGGTTGAGGAGCGATGATTAACCCTCAGATTTGACTGGATTTGACCCATTTCCCAAAATCATAAATACTTGCTTCTTGATGTTACTAAATAGGTACCAAGGTCGTGTGTATAAATCGTGTAATTGTGAGACGAATTCGTGTAAAACTATGTAATTTGACCAGCATATCGTGTAATTTCACAAATTCAGATTGGCAACACTGCATTCTCAATTAAACCGTCACCAGTGGTTTCGGACCTCACGCATAATATTCAGTTTAAAGCCGGGCTCAGACGACTCGTGTACTTGGCGAATACACAATTATTCGCGTACTTGGCAAGTATACTAGCTTTGCGAATTGCGATGGCAAGCAGGGCGCTCACACGACGTGTTCAATTTACAAGTACACGAGCGCGAACATTTGGCTAAACATTGATGCTCGTCGAAAACTAAATGAAATAGTCGCAGTAAAAGCCAATTATTTGTGAATTTCGTTTGAGCGCCTCTACAAGTATGAACTTAGCAAGTGTACGAATAATCGTGATCCCTTTGACTCGGGTCATTTTTACCGACAAGAAATGGAAAACCAACGAGTGACAAATAATTTTACAAGTAACCCACTCACACGACATGGCAAGTATACGAGAGTAACGATTATTCGACAAGTACGCGAGTCGTTTGAGCCCGGCTTAAGGCTATAGTCCGAATCCCAGACCGCACAGAATCTGCCAGCACATTCTTGGAATATTCCCAGTAATGCAAGAATGTTTAAAATTAATCTAGAAATATTCCTAGGGAATATTCCAAATAAATCTTATATGAATATTCCTGAATAATTTACAATCATATTTAGGGATCATTATTGCGAAATAAACAAAATCAAATAAGAGCTGCAGCAAAAGGTGTTATTTTCTTACTTTATTTATTGTTTATTATTATTATTATACCTATCAATTATTAATTAATTGTCTTTTCAAGCCAGGAAATGTCTTTTAGTCCTGGTTTGTAAAATTATCGTATTATATATATGTCAAACTATATATAAAACACCTAAACATTTAAGCAATCATTTTTAGGTACCTACCTATATAACCAATATGGTATGGATAGGTTTTTATAACTAAATCTTGCTTATTTATTAGCAGATTTAAAAATACGCGCGTTTTATTTTGCTAATAGTTCGGTAAAGCTCGTGTGGTGGCGCTGACGGTACGTAGTAGTTACAGTGACTCTATAACCCACAGTGGCGACAATTGCTGTCTCATTTTTGATTGGTTCTAAAATCCCATATATTTATATTGAAAACATCGCCATCTTGTTCCCAACCCCTTATTACTTTTAAATATGAATATATGGGATTTAGGTGAACATTGAACATTCATCATAAATCATGGAAAACAACGTATTTGATGGACCTAATAATAGTCATCAAATACGTCGATTTCAATTTTTTATGATAGATGTCCATTTAAATCCTATATAATTAATATTTAAAAGTAACAAGAGGTTGGGAACAAGATGGCGGCGAAACCTCTATTGTCGCCACTGTATGTAAAGGTTTATTTAGCCACTGTAGTAGTAGTAGCGCCACTCGGCTCAGCGCGCGCACACCATTCTCGTTCTCATCTCCAGTCTCCAGTTTGTTCTTGTTGTTGTGCAAGGCGTTCGCCGTTCGTTCTCCTCGACACTCGACACGACAGCCGGAAAGCCATCTTACAAATTATTATAAAGGTATGTACCAATTTTTTATATTAATCGCCCCACTATAAAATATATTATAGAGAATAAATACTGCCTAATTCTATACTTCTTGGTGTAACATATTTTATTTTTGTGAAAATAACTCCACCAGATCTTTTACTGTCCCCCCACATAGTTTGTTTTGCAAGGGGCTTTTCATACCGGCTTTTTATTAAACACATCATAGCAACAGGTAGATATTGGGTTCATATTAGGGCTCGGAATTCTATTCGAATAATTCGAATATTCGACTATTCAACTATTCTAAATTCGACTTTTTTGTTAGTTAGCGAATTCGGCTATTCGAATATTCGACTATTCGATTAAATATTCGAATAATCAACTATTCGAATTATTCGGCTATTCGAATAAAATACCAAACGACTATTCGAATACTTGAATTTTAAAAATTCCGAGCCCTAGTTCATATGAACTGTATATTAAATTATTATTTTGGTACGTTATTTTAAATGATTTGTTGTGTCCTAATTAAATAAATTTCGTATTACAAAATCTCGTACAAAATATTAATAATTATGTTTTACCCGAGGCTTTACCTAATTAAAAAAGTGTAAAATATTTTAGGCGATATTTGTGGTAGATTAAACAAATAAATAACTTTAAGAAATCCTCCAATCGCAAAATTTTAAAATTCAAATGGATCAATCAATTTCTTATTATTGTTAATTCATTACCTTACCGGGTTTTAACACTAATAAAAATTTATAACGGCCCTGTAATTACACCATTACCTATATTTTTATTAAGTTTAAGACGCGCACTTCTATTGATATGATTTTCATAGCGATTTCTGCGTTATACGGGGTGTTCCGAAATTCATGCAACAATTTTTTATGGCATATTCTACGTCGAAAAGAAGCCCTAGTATCCTCTATAAACATTATGTCCAGAAACATTTCCTTTCCGAGATACAGGGTGTTGAAATTCTAAGAAAAAAACTATTTTTTCATCATTATGTTCAAACCACCCAAGATATTTCATTGAAATTTTTTACACTGCTTTCAAGCAGCAGAAGACATTTTTTGATGTGAAATATTTTTTTTTTTTAAATTTCCAGTGGCGTCCGTAGCAGATTTGTATGGATTATTTTTGAAGAAAAAAATGGTGCCCCACTGTTTTTTCCGAAAATAAAAATTATTTTTGAAATCCTCATTCAATTTGGAACAACTTTGATTCCTTCACTTTTTTCCGTATGATGCACCGTTTTCAAATAAAAAATAAAATAACATTTTGATGTATGGCTAAATCGTCAAAATTATGAATAAAAACTTCACAAAAGTAATTTGAAACCTAAGGTGTTTCTTGTTTAACATTTTTATCATAATTTTGGCGATTTCGCCATGCATCAAAATGATTTTTTTTATTTTTTTACTCGAAAACGGTGCATTTTACGGAAAAAAGTGAAGGGGTCAAATTTGTTCCAAATTGAATGCGGATTTCAAAAATAATTTTTTTTCTGTGACGGGAAAAAAGTTGACTTTTTGTACCTGTTGACAGGGGCAAAAATGTCACTTTTTTTCTCATGGGAAAAAAGTGAATTTTTTTTTCCCGAGGGAAAAAAGTAACAGGTACCAGTCAAATTTTTTTATCAATGGGAAAAAACTAACAGGTAAAGACATAGAAAAAAATAGTGAATAGATGGGAAATAAGTGAGATTTACAGTCACAGAAAAAAATAGTGTATTATACATTGGAAAAAAGTAAGATTTTAGTGCTCGCTGTGTTGTATCCCTCCGCTTCGCGTCGGGAGACAAACCACACCTCGCGCTAAAATCTAGTACTTTTTTCCCTTGTATAATAAATAACTATTATTTTCAGAAAAAGCAGTGGCGCACCATTTTTTTCTTGAAAAATATTCCATACAAATCTGGTACAGACGCCACTGGTAATAAAAAAATATATATTTCACATCAAAAAAAGTCTTTTGCTGCTTGGAAGCAGTGTACAAAATTTCAAAATATCTTGAGTGGTTTGAACATTATGACGAAAAAATAGTTTTGTTCTTAGAATCTCAACACCCTGTATCTCGGAAAGGAAGCGTTTCCGGCCAAAGTTTTATGTAGGAAACTAGGTTTTATTTTTAACGTAGAATATGCCATAAACATTTGTTGCATGAATTTTGGAACACCCTGTATAAAATAATATAAAAATTACTTTTTATTGTACGCCCATTGTTTTGCAGGTACTTATTTTTTGCAAATTTGAAATGCCCAAAACGAAAGTAACTTCAAGGCACTTTAGACGTTTGGTAAACAAAGAAACCTAGGCGTTTTTCAAAAATGTGCATCCTGACAATAAAAACGATTCAAATATAGCCAGGCGGGGCAGTCGTTCTAATTTATATCCTAAAACCAGTGACCAAAACAATACATTGTCATGTAGTTCGTCATCAGAATGTTCTTTTAATGAAAACCATTTCGCAAATACTGAAAATTTGATAAACGACAGTCTGGAAAATAATTGTTTCTTAGACAATGGTTTTAATAGTAGTCATTCTAGTTTTGATTCAACACATTCCGGTTTAAGTTCTTCTGATAACGACATTCCAAATATAGAAAATATTGCGCCTTCCCATAATAACCAACTGTCTTTACATGAGGAAATGCAAAACTGGGCTGTAAAATTTCAAATAAGTCACGCGGCACTAAAACATTTTTTAACAGTAATTGCTCCACGTATTCCGGGTTGTGAAAATTTTCCTAAGGATCCCAGGTCATTTTTGTGTACTCCTAGAACTGTCGAAAAACGAGTTGTAGAACCAGGTTTTTATTGCCATATTGGCATAAATCGTTGTATTGAACAAATGTATACAAATCTTAATATTAAACCTAATGGAAATTGTATAAATATTGCTGTGAATATTGACGGATTACCGCTAGCTCATAGTTCAAGTAGTCAAGTCTACCCAATTCTGTGCAATAACAAATCAATTGAAAATAATAATAATGTTTCGATTATAGGTATATATCACGGCAATCAAAAACCATTTAGATTTAATGAATTTTTAAAAGATTTTGTTACTGAAGCTAAAGAACTTACAAATAATGGCATTACAATTTTTGGACAAAACCTTCAATTTAAAATAACAATGTTTCTTTTTGATGCTGTAGCAAAATCGAGTGTTCTTTACTGTAAGGGATGTACTGGTTACTACTCCTGCACAAAATGCAAACAGAAAGGTGTATACATTAAAGATAGAGTTTGCTTTCCAGATCTTGAATGTGTACCTCGTACAAATGAATGTTTTTTGACGTTAAGTGAGAATAATAAGTTCGTGACTGAAGAAATAAGTATTCTGGGTGAAATTCCCCATATTAATTTTATTGCAGACATACCAATCAACTACATGCATTTGATATGTTTAGGTGTGGTAAAACGGTTGGTAGTCCAAACTTGGGCTTTTGGCTCTATTCCTCATAAGTTATGTGCCCGAGATTTTAATCAGATTTCCCAGAATTTAACCAATTTAAAGCAGTATATCCCTTCAAATTTTGCTAGAGTCCCAAGAGCATTGTCTGAGAGCAAGAAGTGGAAAGCCACTGAGTTCCGACAATTTCTTCTCTACTCTGGACCTGTCGTGCTCAAAAATGTTCTGTCTCCTACAAAATATTACCATTTCCTAACTTTACATGTGGCAACTGTAATATTGATAAGTAAAAAACATTGTAGAACTTATTTAGACTATGCTGAGCAGCTATTAGAACACTTCGTTAAATCAACAAAAATCATCTATGGGACTCATTATCTTAGCCATAATTTTCACAATCTTTTACACATCGTTGACGATGTTCGTAATCACGGGTGCCTTGATAACTTTAGCAACTTTTCTTCCGAAAACTTTTTGCAATATATAAAGAAACTACTTCGTAAACCTTCAGACGTACTAAGCCAAATTGTTAAACGAATTAATGAAATCGAAAAACATTTATCGTTAAAAAACTGCAATTTATTAGGTGCACAAAATTTTGAAATGGAAAATCCCCACAATGACGGAGTGCTGGTTAATGATTGTGGAAGCCCTCAGTTTAAAAGAGTAAAATTTAAAGATTTCTTTATTTTATTTAATAAAAAAGATTGTTGCTGTGTATTGGAGAATGATATAATTATTACAGCAGAAAATTTTGCATTTTCCTCCATAATTAATGAGTTTGTAGTTGTGGGAAGAAGTTTTAATACAGTACAGGATTTTTATAATAGACCATGTAATTCTAGTAATTTTGGAATTTTTTTTGTAAAGGATTCAGGCGTTTTAAACTACTGGCCAATTAAATATATAAAAAATAAACTAGTTCAGCTACCTTACGCAGATGGCTTTGTAGTTTTACCTTTGCTGCATCATGAAGAATACACCAATTTGAATTAGGGACCATTAAATTTGAAATAATTATTATACTTTTGCTGTTGTTATTATTTTAACAATTTTAAATTTATTTAGGTAATTTGGTCACTGGTTTATTTATTACCGCGGGTGCTCTACGAAAAAGAATAGTGGACCCGTTCTGCGTTCAGGTAAATTGATTTTTTTTCTTTTCTTCTTTTCATAATTACTCCATATAGATATGGAAAATAAACAATGGAAAGTCGTCAAATTTAACAATGAAGACGAGGGCGATAGTGTTGAGGTTGTACCCTTGTCCTGGATTACTGGGACCGATTGTTTTTGGCCTCCATTTGACAACAGGAGGGACGTAGAAAGTGCTATGAAACATTGCTTATCACCGCAGGAAAACAGCTGGCGAAAGTATACAGGCGTTCAAAGTTCAAGCAGAACTTACGACAAATTCGCAACGGCATCTTCACGTGCTAACAAAGTTATTGCTAATTCCGAAATCGACAGCAGCGGATCTGAAAAATTGCCGAAAAAACGACTTGTTAAAATGAATCCTTTGTATGCAAAAAATTATTTTTTGAACAGCAATGAGACATCTGAAGATGAAGCCGAAATAAATGTTGAAATACCAAAATTTCCAACGTTGTCGACGAACACCAAATTAAATAAAGGCTTACCTTCTAAGAAGGCATCCAAAGGCCTTACAAAAACAAGTATGATTTTTACTTATTTTCGAAATACAGTATGTAATCAGAGCAACACGATCTCGAAAAACATTCTTTAAAGCAAGCGTGTGCGTTTTTTACTCAATAAAATAATTAATTGAATTTTTAAGTACTACTACATGCAAAATATTTTTACAACTGAAAAAAATTTCCATAACTAATTTAATCCGATAAACTTAAAATCATTTCATTACATTTATACCTAAAAATACATTTCAAAAGCTCATTTTTAAAACTCAATGAATTAAAAAATATGTAAAATGGAATAAAACATCATAACAAATTGTTAAATATTTTGATGTATTTCTGATACCTAAAATTTATTTCTGATATCAGAAATTAATTTTGAGATATCGGAAATTAAATTTCTGTTGTCTGAAATTCACGATTAAAGAATATTTTCACGTTCCATATGTTTTAGATGGAGCGAACACATCTGGAGTCACCAAAAATACGAATGAGAAAAAACTCGATTATCGAAAATCTCATAGTCAGAAAGTCGGCTCAAATAGTAGTAATAATGAATTACCGTCTAATCGTAAGTCTTTAAAATGGTTGTCTTTTATAGCATTGTTGTATTTCTCATTTTAGTTGCCGGAAAAAACAATGCAGTTCAGGAAAAAATAGTTTTCGAAGAGGAGCAGTGTGAAGGTATACCTATATATAACATTTTAGGAACTGTAGTGAAGTGAAAGTTTTTTTTTTTTTTAGATGAAGAATACCTTCCTTGTGACGATGAACATATTTCTGACAGTGAGGCTAGTAGTATTTCATCAAAACATGATAGTCAAACCGTGGATGACAAAAATGTTCTACATAGTAAGAAGGCGAATAGAACAGGTAAGATCTGTAAGATTGAAACAGTTTCAATTATAAAATGCCATATTTTTAACAGACGCCGCAGCATTAGTAGAAACGGATGAATTGGACAACAACAGTAGTGTGCTTAAGAAATTAGTGAGACAAACAATTATTAATAATAAATTAATAAAAAAACAAAATGCTATGTTGAAAGAGCTGATCAGCAAGCTCAATGTTGCGGGTCTGAATAATATGGATCCTGATGAGGAAGTATTGTCGCAGCAGTTTAAGAATACCTTTCCTATAAAAGAAGACGAGAATCTCGATAGTACAAATCAAATTTTAAGTGAGGAAGAAAAATTTTACAAGTACGCGGTAAGATGTAAAAAACAAAAAATTTCATCAGTTGAAAACGTTTAATTTTTTTTCAGTTAAAAATGGTATCTCTAGAAGGTGGCCATAGCGTTAGCGAATGTGTAAGAAAAGTCATGACAGTTGTTATTGATGATAACCTGGCGAATAGCTACAGTTTTAAGGGACATAAAGCTAAAAAGAATTTCAGCAAGTACAAACATCTGGTATCATTAATCATAGGTGCGATATATTGTGAACCTGTTATTTAAATGTTTATTAATATTATCTAATTATTTTTAGATAGCGTAAGAAGTCATATTCCGACAGCAACAACAAAAGAGATGCAGGATCAAATAGCGATTTGGCTGACCAAATCGAGGAGACGGATGGAAGCAGCACTCCAGGACTAGTACCAAATACAAATACTACATATTTACCAAGGAATGTCTATTAATTTCTATATACGCATTATTGTTTGATAACTTACGAAAAAATTAGTAAGTGCCTTATTTTATTTTGATATATTGAGCAAATAATTTGTTTTTATTTTTATATATTGGCATTAATAACTTACTAAAGAATTAATAATGGCCAATTGCACCAACCATTTTAAGGAAGCCTTAACGATAAGTATTCCTTAAAATGACAGTTTTGCATAAGGAAATGTCACTTTAAGGAATAGTTATCGTTAAGGCTTCCTTAAAATGGTCAGTGCAATCGGCCATAAAGGGCCTTATTTTATTTTATATATTTGCCAAGGAATTTGTTTTTATTTTTATATAAAGGCATAATTACCATACTAAAGAATTAGTAAGTGGCTTATATTTTATTTTATATATTTACCAAAGAATTTGTTTTTATTTTTATATAGGCTTTAATATATAAAGTTTATTATGTAATATTGTTTATTTTTAGTTTTTTATTAAAAAGTTTTATACATAATTGTTTCTCAGTTTAACAGCCCCTGAACAACGGTGATACATACCTATATCCTATATCAGAAAATGCTGAGAATATTCAGGGAGGAATTTCTCAGCATGTCCGTATATCTAAAATTTTATTAAACCAGGAATATTCCCAGAATTATGTATGACAGCTCTATAACATTTTTTAAGGCAGAATCCAGGAATATGTTTTTTCTCGTGCTAGGAATAAATAAAAAGCGGACATTTAGATATGTCAGGAATATTCCGAGGAATATTCTGGGACGCTTGGAATAATCATAGGAATATTCCTAACATAATATTGGAACAGGACTGTGCGGTCTGGGATATAACCAAATGTTAACCAAAGTAACCGATCCGGTTGACAGATGGTTTCTGAAATTTCCGGTTAACTAGGGAACACGAATATGAAATAAAAAATTGTTGACAGAATGTTTAGGAATTTACAGATAAAACCAACAAAACCGACATCCGATAGTCGGTAACTATTTTGACATTTGGTTAACCAGATTTCAGGAAACCAAGGTCCAAAAGTAACCACTTTTCCAGGTACCAGAGTAATTTGATCGCTTTCGGACCGCGAAACCACAGCCCTGGGTTATATTCGGACCACAGCCTTAATATTGTTTTAGATAGGTAGTTTTCATGATGTTTTTGTCAAATATATAAATTTTAAAATTTTATTATTAATCTAGACGCGTCGGGCCTGCGGCCCGACCGTCCCAGAGTTATACCGGGCATTTGCGGTCGTCCCATCCAACCCTGCTAATAGGTTTGTTCCAACCCGTCAAAAAACGTCCCAGAACGGTTTCGGAACCTCTCTGTATACGAATTTCGGTTTCTATGCAAAAATTTTAGGTTTTGCGCTGAATCCTGACGATAATATTACGGTTTCCTGCTGGGGCAACAAAGCTCAAGGTCTCTATTTATCTTACCAATTGAAATTTGAAAACATTTCTGTTCGTTGGTACAAAGTTCTCTTATTTACTAACATTTAGTTCACATTCTTTGATGGGATCAACCAATAATCCACTTTGGTAATACAGTGGCGACGCGTGACTTGCAGTCTAGGGGGGGTAATGGGAAGATGCGACCCCCCGCTAACGCGCCGCAGGCAAATTTTTTTGTCAATTTCAAGGTCGTTCACTTTTCCAGAACAATAATTTCCTTTGTGAGGAAAATAAAACAAAAAAAAAAATGTATTTTCTTTTGGGCATCGTGATTTTTCCCTTGAATTTTGGATCCTGGGGGGGGGGTAATTACCCCCATTACCCCCCCCCCCCCCCGACGCGACGCCCCTGTGGTAATATCACTTATAACACTTATTATGGCCATTTCCACCAACTAGTTATTTTCGGGAAGCCCTAACGATAAGTATTCCCTAAACTGACAGTTTTCTATGGAGAAATGTCAGTTTAGAGAATACTTATCGTAATAGTTTGTGGAAACGGCCATTAGGGCCGGTTTATTCACCTTCTGATAAACTGTCAGGTGTCAGGTATGCAATCTGAACGATAAAAATGCAATATCTTATCCCATTGGTTGGCCAGCTATGCGCCGACCAATAGATTTATAGAACGGTAAATTTATCTTGCCGATAATTACCCGCAAGTTTATCTGAATATAAATAAACCGGGCCTAATAAATATAAAAATCGAAAAAACAAAATACGAAATTTTAGGTAAATTGGTGTTTGCATACTTTTGCATTAGCTTTATTCATAAATCCTCATGTGACAATATTTGAGCTATAACATTTTCAATGGACAGCAGGGCTAGATCTTGAAGGTTTCTCTATTCTGCTAGAGTTGACCGCTAAGGTAAGTTTTAATTACCTTAAGCTTACTTAAGCTCCGTTCACCTTTCGGCACTGTACCCTAATAACACAGTAACATCGCAGAAACATTCCAGAAACATCCATCAGGGATAATGAAGACGTTCCTGGGAGGTCCCTATTTTCCTGGGGACATCCCTGGGATGTTGCAGGCAACAGCCGTGTCATCATTTGCGATGTCCTATAAACATCTCTCAGGGATGTTTCTAAGATGACGCGGGATGTACCTAATACATCCGGGGCAGGTGTAAGAAACATCCTCTATATGTTTCTAGTATGACTTTAATACGTGAAAGAATTTTAGGATTATGGATTAAAAATTACCTAATTCAATAATTTTCAATTTTCGTTCTATTTTCTGGAAGTCAGATAGAACTTTTTCCAAAAAAAAAACAAAAATTGAAAATTATAAAATTAAGTAGGCACATCAGTTTCCAATAACATTTTTTATTGAAAAAATAAGGTACATGCATACTTATATTGATTATCTATCAACTAATAATAACCGACGGACAATTTTGCCTAAATAATGTAGTATTTATGCCCCGTCATGTCATCGAAAACCATAGTTTGGCAGTGGCAGCATGTTGTAGTGGGGGAGTTCGGCGTTTTCTTTTTTTTTTTGGTGCTCCAATTTCATAAAGGTACCATTAACTAACCAAAACAACCACAGAACCAAAATCCAAAGTTCTTGAAGTACAATTCAACTTGCACACCTAGAATGTAATCAACTATGAAAACAAAAAATAATTATTGGTTATTTTCTCTTACCTAATGAAGAATGAAGTTCGGGTTTTTAGGGGCTATTTATTAGAAAAGTTAGAAATTTCCTAACCGACGCCATATTGAAATTAAATAAACTAAACAATTGATAGTTATGCGACGTTATCTTTCAACAAATAATCTTTCTCACCAACTAATAAGCACTGGTAGGTCGCAGAGATCCTTTCGAACACAAAATGGCACAACTAGGTGTAGCGAAAAACCACAAATTGACAAATCCTCCACACAGCACGACGCCATTACGAAATAAAATTCCGCCCAACAACACAAGCGAAGCGCACAGGACGACCCGTTCGACTGATTCTGCCCGTCTGCGCTGGCTGCGGCGCCGACCCTACGTGGTGGCGTGCCCTCCTGTCCTGACCGGTACAAGTACAAATGCCTGAGCACGCGCCTGCGCCATACACTTCGGCTTCACGAATATTCACGATGTTTGAAAGTTGAAAAGAGAGAAGACTTTTATCAATACATATTTTATTTTATTCCAAGTTGTAAGTCGAATGAAAAATTAAATTTTGCTGTTGTTACAATACAAAATTAATATTAAGTACCTTATCTATATACATTACAGGTATATTATGGAATTTGAAATTAGTTTGTGTGTGTGATAGAGACATTTTCAGAAATCACACAAAATTGGCAAATTTAATACTGGGTCCTGCCGGTCTGAGGTCCTACCTAGTTTTGTAAAATAATGTTAGCCATTTTTCAGCTGTAATAAGTATCTAATTTTGAGAACGAAAAATCTTTTTGTCGATAGATATTTTCGAAAGGATGTTTCTAAAACATTTCAGGACAATCATCCTAGAGATGTTACATTACAAACATCGCAGCGATGTACCATTTATGTCGGAAACATAAGGACCTTAATGGTACATAAATAGGATGTTTCTGGGAGATCGGTGTTATTAGGGTAACAGGAATGGTAACAAAAATACGAACAGCTGTCCAGATATAAGGAAACGTATCTTGCCAATTATTAAATGCTAACGCCTGAAGGACTGCTTTCAGGTGACCGTTATCACTATCCGAAATATCGTGATCAAATGCTCGAGTAAAGGCGCCACCACACCCACGATCCGTGCGCGTCTCAAAAAAACGTCAGGACAGGTTATTCACATACTAAGTAAGCACAAGCTTGCTCACAAGCAGAAAAGCAAAATATCGAAAAGCAGAGACAGAATTCAAAGGGATAATATATTTTTCCCTTTTTTTTATTACCAAGGAACAAGTCGAAGACGCCCCCGAGGTCTGGCGCCTGGAGCGCTCGCTCAGTTCGCCTTATGGTAGGGCCGGCCCTGGGTCTGGTCATAAACATTGAGTCATGCAACCCAAATAATAAAACCAAGATATGAACTATGGCTTTAAACAAATCCTTTTGGCCGCTGATGGTCACGTCTCTATTCTTGGGGTATCAGATTCTCGCATAACTGTACATGTACTAAGAACGAATTTCGTTTGACTGTCAAATTGTCAAATACAATACAATACATTTATGTATAGTAATATAACTTACAATGCAACAGTAATATGATCTACGTTTTTAATGTAAATGGTAGGTGTTTTGTACATTCATCTCATTAATGTGTCGGTTTGCAACCAGATGACACCACAGTTTCTTCGCTACCGACGAAATGTTAGACATTCGAACCAGCTCAAAACTTTTACATTAAATTCGTTAGCTTTGCGCAGTGGCATTATCGTAACCAATGAGATTTTTCCGAGGTGCGATTATTGCTAGTTGAAAACTTTAACCAATACCCCGCCACGTGCACGTGAAAAACCGTGCGCTAAGGCAATTTTTGTGAGCCTCTATAGAGGCTAGAGGTGGGCCAACCTGCGATTTTAATGGAGCTGTGACAAGACGTGACTGCTCCAGTCGTGTCACTGTGACAAATAGCAGTGATTTTTTGGAGCAGTTTCACCTTAGTTGGCGGCCGTACTGCTAATATAATGTTAATGCTACATCGCAAAATGGCATAATCGCAGTCCGCAGTCACGGCCGAGAGAGATGCTCCAGTTTCCAGCCTGCCCTCTGCAGTAGCAGTTTCGATTTGGCGTGACCGCGATGCGTTTTTTCATTTTATTATTCCATTTACATCACTTAGCTAGAGCTTTGTCCGCGCTGCATCGGTCGGAGCTTGAACTGGCAGTGACAAAATGTCATTGCTACTTGACTGGGACTGGAGCAGGCCGTGACTGTGACAGACGAGTAGCAGTGACAAAGTCACAGTTCGTGAAATCGCAACCCACCTCTAATAGAGGCTGTTTAGTCCAATAAACTTAATTTTGTATAGAGTAGAGGTGAAAAAT